TGTTGAGGCCTAATGAAAAGCTCTATTGTGCAGCCTTTTACTAACACTCTTTTCACAATTCTGGCTGAGAGAGGAATGTGAATAAAAGGCACAAGCAATTAAGGCGGAAACCTCATCCTTTTTCACGATGTATTTAGGGAAATGGAAAAAAAAGTGCACATTGATCAGAAGGCTGCACTTCAAAAAAAAAAGGGGGGGAAAAAAACCAAAAAAAAAGAAAGAAGATGGATTGATCAGAAGGCTGCACTTCAAAAAAAAAAGGGGGGGAAAAAAAAACAAAAAAAAAGAAAGAAGATGAGGGTAGAGGAGAAGAAAAGAAAACAGTACAACCTTGATAAGATCACAGCATTAGAAGGGAACAAATTTACAAGCTTGTCCAGAATATGAAGTTAACACAACTCTGATCGCTGTTAGTAAACTGAGCCTCACACAGATCAGAAATGGCACTCCCTTGACTACTGTGTTTTCTTGTAGGTGAGAAAAAAAATATCTTGCTTTAGTTTCAGGGTTTGATCCTACAACAGGAAAAAGCATGTGAAGTTAGAGTAAACCAGATACAAGCCTCCAAAATCCCCGTGCCAGCTCCACTTCATCACTTGTGATTCAGTTTTGCTTCTGAGGGAAAACTACTTCAGTTTTAGTAAGAACTGTGTTGTGCTGAATGAAATAAAGGGTTTAAGAAAAAGTTGCAAGCAATAAAGGAAAATCACCTGAGATGGCAGAATTCAAGATGGAGACAAGCATGTTTTAATGTTATGTAGCACTCACTTTTGGTTACTCTTTACACAACTGATTTGTTAAAATAAACTTCATACTAGCTCATCAACAAAACTATTAAGAAAACTGGTAAAAATAATAAAAAAATGTTACACGCATTATATTGCTTCTCCAAATGATAAATGTTTAAGCACTTCCCACTCAAATAAGGATAACCAGAGAATTTCTGTATGTTCCTATATTCTGGTAGCAGGCATGACTTCTGCAGCATCAAAACAGCCGCTTGAAATGAGACTATGGCAAAGGCAAACTTTACCAGGAAAATCTACCTAAATGTTCCTATACATTTCCTTAGAGAGGAAGACTAAAAGTTTTCCCCCTTTATTGTGCTTTTTTGGGTGAACTGGGGAAAAAAAAAGACAAATAAAGAAGGCAATGCAGGCTGTTCTGTATATTCATTATTAGCTATTATTGAATTAAAGTTCATAATGGTATCAAGCCTAAGTTACAGGAAACAGAAAACAAAGGGAAAGAAATTTATCTCATGGTTTTGAAATGTTAGAAATAAACTGTGTTGGTGTACACAAGTTCAGGAAAACTGCTAATGTTTATTTTTCCCTTTTATAATGCAACCTTATTTACAGAGATCTTTTCATTCAAGCATTTTGATCTTCTGTTAAGAATTAAATACCATAACTTCTAGAAATGGAGGGCCAGAAAAAAAATGGGCTAGCAAAGCATCTTAAGAGGTATTTAACTTCAATAAGCGTGCCTGCTTATATTTAAGAACATCTTAAATAATGCTTTGCTGACTGAAGCTTCACAGTCTCTCAAGGCCGGCCAGGGTAGCAATGGGAATCTAAAGGTCCACCCAGGCATCCCCATCCCCATTCAAAAATGTCTTTGCACTAGCACTAGGCCACAACTTCTCTATTTATTTATTTATTGTCAATCATTAACAGACTTCCTGACTTTCTTGGATTCCTCCCCCCCCCCCCCCGAGGATGCCATTGTTTCACATTTTCCCATTCTCCTTTGCTTTAACTGAGAAATCCATTTTCTGTTTCATATCACAGGCTGAATGAAACATTTCTTGGACTTGAAACTTTCTGGGGAGTTATCCTGTGACCCAAGCAACGCGCCTTAAACATGTGAAGACATGGAGAAGAAAGAGACGGCGGCCAAAGACTCAGAGTGAATGGTGTTTAGCTCCTTCCACACCACTAGTAGCTCAAAGGCTAATCTCAGTATCATTCTGGAAGAGACCTCCGCAGAAGATGACATTTTATTCAAGACCCAGCTATGAAATAATATAAAATTATGAATTTCTCAACGGCAAAGAAAAGAACAAGGAAAAAGTTTCTCACTAGAATATTGCTTTTACAGCCCATTAAGATTTTTAGTTACAAGTCATTTGTACTAAAACATACATATTAGAAGATTAACTTCCATGCACTGTCCCACATTCCTCTTCTCTCCATACACATGCATAAGCCTCAGCCCATCTTCCCACAACCTCGTGCTAATTCAGAAATCCCACTATTCTCACCTCCCTAAACAGCCAGGCAGATTCTCATACCCTTGTCTGTCGTGGCAATTCCTATCTTTTATGGTTCATTTGGCAGCTATATCACAGAGATGTTTCTGAGAGAAGAACAGGCTAAAGTCCCCATGGCCATGTGCACGGTCACAAACCCTGGCTTTGGTGTTGTAGGTAATGCCTCTGGGATTCTTTAGGAGACCATGCCGGAAAGCAACTACTACATCTATACATGCTAATGTAGGTTTTCAGAATTCTAAGAAAAAAATCCAAATTCATCCTAAAAAGAGATTATAGCTGTGCAAAGCTATAAAAAAGCTAAAAAAAAAAAAAAAAGCTATGTTTTTTTGTTAGTTGACTCCTTAAAGGGTTTTACATTTTTCCAATACTCCAAAATATTTTTAAGAAGCAAAACCAACAAACACATTTGAAGGGCTTCTGTAACCTATTATGAATCTTTGCATCATTACGCTTTGCTAATATCCTCTGTTATCTTGTGCTTATCTTAGGGGTTTATAAATTCTTTTTATGACGAAAAGTACATCCTGCCTGTGCTGCAATTCTTTCACAAGTGCTACTCATACGCAGTACATCCACATTACTTCTCCCACGGTACAGACAAGGTAGCAGCGACGAAGTTGGAGGAAGGTGCAATAAGGAGCAGAGACAGCATCAGGGTTTGCCGTGTTACAAATGTCTAACAAAAGATCGCCTCTGTCTGGAGGAACTTACTGTCCACAGGAGACAAAACACCAAAGAGAGAGGAATATGCTCAAACGCCGTGCCATGCCCTGGGTCACACAAGCTGCCAGTGGAAAAGCCAAGACTAAAACTCACAGACAACTCTTCAGAGAGTGCCCTTCCTTGGAAAGCATCCAGGCCCTACGTCAACGAGGAGGCCAAGCACTTACATATTCACATCACCTGGTGCAGGAGCAGCTGCCACCCCTCAAAAATACTAACAAAGGCCTCAAGTCTCCTCTGATAAGTACGGACCTGCTCACTCTTTGCTGTCACTCTAGAACGTGATACCTTTTTCTACTGTCCTTAAACTTATTCCCCTATCAGACTGAAGTTTTTGCCTGAGCAGTTTTAGTTAGTTCTGAAGGCTGGGAAATGCATGTCTTAACTATTTCCTTACTTCTTCGGTAAATATCTTATTTTTAGATGTAAAAAGTCGCTACATTTTTTTCCCAAGCTCTGGGAACATTTCAGGAATGTGAGGCAAGATACACAGTTATTAGAAAGATATTTCCCAAGCCATTCACAATAAATTCTCAAGCAACTATATTACATTTCAATTCACAAAATTCACTATTAACCTACTAATGCACGCAGGCAGGAGTGTACCTCCCTCATCTTTCAGCTACCAAAAGAAACATTTTGTGCATTCCTTTCATGTTCCAAACTGTCTCTCATTATGAGTGGACTTCTCTCATAAACAAAGCATCAGAGAGAAGTTTTGTTTGTTGTTGTTGTTTTTTAGTACACTATATGGTAAAATCTGGAGCAGGTCAATGGCTGGAATTTTTAATTGTAAGAACAAGGTAAAAATTATTTAATTAGATGACATATTCTTCTCTAACATATAATTATTTCCCGGCTACCTGGTGAGATCACTGTGAAGAACAGAATTATTCAAGACTGACTACATGAAAAGAGCACAGAAGGAAGTATACACTGGTGATATGGCAACTAAAGAAGTGAATGGGATATGTCAGCCTGGGGGAGCTGACGGGGTATATTAGAGGTGTTGGTGCACACAGTGAGCAAAGGAGAACGCCAGTGGCTCTGGGAAGAAAGAGGGCAAGGCTGAACTCTCAATTCTGTGCCAATTCTTTATTTCACTACCCTTCTTTTGGTCCGTCTTCCACAAACATACCCAGAACCTCGTTCCTGATAATTTATGCACTGCAACTTCTTTCAATTTCAAATCACACCTTCATCCTTGCCCAAAATAATCTTCCAAGATCTTGCTTACAAGAGGATTTTTCATGAAGTACATTCACTTTTAAACCACTCTTTCTATGAACTCTCCCTATCATCCTCCACTGAAAATGCTTTTCTGCGAAAGTAAGTTGTGGTACAGAGCCAAGTGGACATCAAGTCCCATAATGCAAAATAACAACTCTGTGTTTAGGAACTTGATTTTCAGCTGACTAGCTACCAAGCTCATGGATATTAAATGATCGTATACTTGTGGAAATACAACAGTGGCTCTTAAACCATTGATATGTTTTGCAAAATTTTATCGGAGGAGTTTAGTAAGTTAAAAAACATTAAGACTTTTTTTAAAAGAGAACAGAAAGCGTAGGAGCTAACATTATGTGTGTTGTACCATTCACCTAAACTCATAAGATGTTTTTTGTATTCCTTTTTCTGTCACTCATCTCATTTATTCTCCTTCATGGTGTAATCCCCCCTAGTGTCTTGTCTTGTCTCCTGACAGGCTGCAAGCTCTTCCGAGCAGGCACAATTGTCTTACTTGCTATATAAATCAAGTTACATGCTAATGTTAAATTATAATGTTTTGACAGGATTTTTAAGTTGAACCTGATTATATGAAACAATAGAACTCTCTGATTTTTTTCCTGAAATTTTCTTCTTTAAAGTAAAGGGATAGCAGAAGAGGAGAAGTAAGGGTTTTATTTCCCATTATTTTTTCAAAT